TACTTGCTGCGAGAGCGAAGAGGAGGTGTCCGGGCGGGGGCGAGCGGCGGAGAGCATCCGGCGACTGCGGGAGGGAGGTGGGTCGGTGCCGGCGGGGCTCGGCGGGAGCGGGGGCCCTCGGGCAAGGCGCTAAAGCAAATACCCTAAAATCGGATCAGAGTGAAATAGTACGGAAACAAGCAGCCAGTTAGCAGAAGTCTTTGAAAGAGAGCACAAGGAGCCTAGGCTTTCTGGTTTTCCTAATGCCCATGAGTGGGAAGATGCCTGGCAGCTGCTGCTCTGACATGCTTAAAAATGGACTGGAGGATTTTAATTGCTCCCTTTCTTTGAAATTTTCCCTAATGATAAACATCAAAGTCTTGTTTTTCATTTACTGTTGAAGGAGCTGAAGTTGTGTTTTCTGTGGACTGCACCAAGCTGAAGGACTATTTTTTAGCAGAAAAAGGACAATTTGATTGTATTTATTTCAACTTCCCTCACTGTGGGAGAAAGGCTGGGGTAGTGAAGAACAGAGAGCTTCTTGCCCGCTTTTTCCATAGGTGAGTAAACCAGAAGTAGTTCTATGCTAATTGACTGCTGTGTTGCAGATTTCTACCTGTGTTACAGGTGTTTTTCTAGCACTATAAAATTTCTGGGTGTGCTAGCAGGACTTTTCTTGTTGCCTGGCTTTCCTTCCAGCTCTGCAGAAGTGCTGACAGACGAGGGAGAGGTCCATGTGGCTCTTTGCAATGGACAGGGTGGGACACCTGCTGATCAACCAAGGAGAGAATGGCACAACAGCTGGCAAATAGTGGCCGTGGCAGCAGGAGCTGGATTTATCTTGAGTAATGTTCATCCTTTTAAAGCAGAGACTATCCACGGATATAAGTGTACAGGCTACAGGTAACCATCATGTGGTAAAACTGAAAAGTTGGTATTCGTGCTCTTATGCTACCTAGCACTAGTATGTTCTTTTAGTATCGTTTTTGTTGGAGGGAGGAATTCCCTTTAATTTTCCTTAAAATAGCTACTGTTCTTTTTTTGCCTCTAAGCAGAATAGCCAAGATAAAAATTCAAGCTTCTTGCCAAAGTACCCTCTAAAAAATAGGATTATCTTAGGATTTTAAAGGTCAAAATGGTCCATTTCAGAACAAATGTCAATCTCAGCCTAAAGACAGCAGGAAGACTGTGATACGTGTATCTGCTTAGCAGACGATCACAGAATCACAGCAGGGACCTCCAGCAATCACTGGGTCCTACCCCACAGCTCAGCAGAGCCAGCTAGAGCAAGTCACTCAGAGCCACATTCAGTCTCCAGGGATGGAGACTCTACAACCTTTCTGTGCAACTTGTTCCAGTGTTGGACCACCTGCCCAGTAAAAATACGGTAGTGTTGCATTTTTGTCACCTTCTAACAAGACCTGGGATTCAACAAGAGGTATAGTAGTGCTACACAGAGTTATCTGTGTAATGCTTACGTGTAGCACATTAAATATAGGAAATGATCAATGACTTTGCTCTGCTTCTGTGTATTGTCAGGAGTCAAGATAAATCTTTCGGTGTGGAGGGTGCTTTAAACCACATTTTCACACGAAGCACACCACTTCTGTGTTTCAAACCTATGATCTGCGAGATAGAACTGGAAAGCCGGAAAGTTTCTTTTCAAGTACCACAAGTACTTGTGGATAAAATTAATAGGTAAGTTTTATAATTAGTTTCTGTTTGGCAATAACACACACTCCTGCTCTCAGTGGGAATGACCACCATAGGTGTCAGATAAAATGGAATTGCTTCACTTTCCCTCCTTTCCCCTTTACAGAATTTCCTGTTCCATTTTTTCTTCAAGTCTGCTTCATGTTGGCTTGTGGTTTTGGCCTACTTAAAAACAAGTCTACAGAACAAAAAGAAACTTTATGGTTGAAACCAAGCTGCTGTACACTTGAACGCACAAATAAAGATGAAAACTTTAATCTATTTTTCTGTACTGTGGGAGAAATTCAGGAGCTGACTTGGTGTCTGCTAATACCGCAATACTAAGGGTAGCTAGGGTAAAAAATGCTAACCTCTTAGGCGAACTGCTGCATACTTTGGAGACTACCCAGGGCTAGCATAATTTGATTCATTTCTGTAGTTTGGTAATGCCTGTGCTGAGTGGAATTGGTGATGCTGACTGTTAAGTCCCGTTCCTTTTTTACCAGTGAAAGTGCAGTTAATTCTTGATTGCAACCTGGAGACAAGCACCACTGTCCTGAAAACGTGTTAGCCATTGCAACACCGTTGATGAAAGACTTGGCTTGTTCAGGTAGTTACTAGAAACCGGCTTAATATCTGAGATTGTTTTGGGTAAATTGCTGCACTCAGATTATGATCACAGGAAGGCATTTCAAGGAAAGCTGTTTAGTGGTGTCTGTAATTTGCACTTTTATTTTTCACAGGGGTTTCCTAGAACTAAATTCAAATCATCCAGTACGGACAGTAAAGGAGAAGCTCACTGCAGACCTCAGCCAAGCCTTTCCATTGCAAAACATTGACTACTGCCTTTCTCTGCTCCACCAAGGTCATCTCAATGGTGTTTGTCACTCAAATATCTTTTGGATCATTCTGAGCCCAGAGGAGACTCCAAGCACTGAAGAAATGTCTAATGGACTAGCAAATGCAGTTTTATTTTCCCATGTTGATTTTTGCAGGGACACAGATAAGAATAGCTGGGTGAATGTACAAGAGGGATGCCACGTTTCGAAACAGTATTATCTTAGACCTTCCCTTCTACCTTATGCTCAGGCAATAATACAAAGAGGAGCCTTTCTCCCGGGGACACTTCATGTTCTTTCTGGTCCAGTTTTCAGGAAGTGTCTTATCACTCCTTACTCCATGCCTGTTTTTCATGAGATGTTTTTTGTATGTGCAGTTAACAGGGGTGCAGAGAACAGCTATATCCAGATGTTGGTGAATAACATTAAAACCAGCATGCATTCTCTTTACCAGACTGTTTCCGGCTTTAAACTGAATATCAATCTGCAGGAAGCAGCGAGCTTTGAAACAACTGAGCTAAATGACTTTGCTGCTTTTGAATCTCAGCTTAGTACAATTCAGTACTGCATCTGTATGGAGATAGATACTTCAGGCTCCTGTGAGAAGGGCTCCTGCGTGGGAATTATAAGGACAGCTCATTATGAACTAGGGAGCAGCGAGTTGGTTGTTGTCTTCGCTTCACTGAATCTTGACCTCCTAGCCATGCTGATCTGTGGAATATCTGACTGGCGAATGCTCTGGACATCAGACATGCGGTTCCTCTCTCAATTTCCTAGAGGAGAGTTAAGGCTTTTCAAGAGTTTTTCTCTCTATCCACCTTCCTATGTGCATGATGTCAGCTTTTGGGTTCCTGATGGGGAACAATTTGATGAAGTTGCTTTTCACACCATTGCTAGGCAGGTGTCAGGTGAAATGGTGGTATCCATCCAGTTAATTGACAGTTTCCAGCAGTCAGAGACTGGACGGAAAAGCCTCTGCTACAGGCTGACCTTTCAGTCCTGTGACAAGGCGCTGAGCCGCCAAGAGGTGGCAGAGATGCAGCTGCTCTTTCGGAAGGAAATAAACCAACACTTGCGTGTAACTCTTCGGTAGAGCGTTGTATGTTGTTTTCAGGTGCTTGAGCAGCATCTGCGCTGGTTTTTGATCTGGAAAATGTGGCCGGCATCTTGTTGGACCTAACACTGTGTGTTATTGCAGTGCCTCTTATAAAGGTGATGTGGGCTTTGAGTACCTGCACACATCATAAATGTGGAAATTCCTGTTAATGAAGACCAAGCACCTTCCCGTTCTGCATGTGTGTAATGAAACCTCATTTTAAAAAGTGGAGCCTTTCTTTGCTAGGGTCCTGTGAAACTGGGCTTAGTCTCCTTACTGATGCCAATTCACTTTTCCTATTCTTGCTTGTATTTGCCCAGCACCTTGTGCCGGTGGCGACTGTATGTAGCACACTGAAAGAGGGAGGATCTTACTATTTCCAAAGGGAAACAAACTTGTACACAAGTACAGTTTGAGCACTAAAAGCTCCCTGCGCAGGTGCTCAGCCCCTATGGGAGGACGGCGTGTGCTGGGCTGCCAGTGCCAGGGGTGCACCCAGTGGGGCCCTGCTGCGTGCACCAGCAGGCTATTTTCTGAGTAGATAACACAGGCGGTAATTGCAAATGGTAATTCCATTGCTAGATTCCAAAGGATACTACCTGATCCTAAAAGATAGCTGTGCCACTGGTAGTGCATTAATAGCTTCAGCAGATGTAACCGCTGACAGAGAACTCCAGTAACACCCCAAGGTACTGGAATCTGCAGGATCACACTGGGGAAAGGTATCAATTGCAC